CTTCATTCCCTCGTGGCCTGAGTCAGGTTGAGTTCCTGAGCCATGTAAAATGTGGCAAGTGCCTTTTCATCATTTCCCATCTTTTTTCTCGAGTTGGTCATTAGGTGCCTGTGTCCCGTGAACATGTGTCACGTGGCCAAGCCCTCGAGAGTGTGTCCAGCATGCAGGCCCTCGGCATCCCAGGATGGCCATGAGTGTGGCTCGAGCATTGCAGATGGCAGCGTCACGTGGCAAGCTTTAGGAAACAGACAATGCCTAGGGGTTCTGCCACTGTAGGTGTGAGGTCTGCTTGCTTGTTCTTCTGTTTATAACTGGGCAAAGTTGGAGAACCCAACACTCAAAATGCACCCAATTTTTACTACAAAAGAAAAGAAATATTTTTTGCTGGAGATAAGCAAGACAAAATGAGGTCTCCCCCTCCTGACTTATGTGTCTCAAGGTTCGTCCTTCCTTCCTTCCTTCCTTCCTTCCTTCCTTCCTTCCTTCCTTCCTGTCTTCCTTCCTTCCTGTCTTCCTTCCTGTCTTCCTTCCTGACTTCCTTCCTTCCTTCCTGTCTTCCTTCCTTCCTTTCTTCCTTCCTGTCTTCCTTCCTGACTTCCTGTCTTCCTTCCTGACTTCCTTCTTCCCTGTCTTCCTCCCTCCCTTCTTTCCTTTTATGAGACAGGGTCTTTCTTTGTAGTCCCAGCTATCCTGGAACTTGTTATGTAAACTGGGCTGGCCTTGAGCTCAGAGTGGAACCTTCTCTGCCTCTTGAGTGCTGGGATTAAAGATATGCGGCACCAAGGATAGGTGAGTGTGAGTCCAGGGAACTGTTAAGAGCAGCATTACTTACTTGTGAGAGTTGTGGGAAGCGTGGAGCTTCCCTGCAGTTCTGGTGGAAGCCTCTGGAGAGTGTCCGGGGAGCCCCCTGGGCTCCATGTATGCTTCTCATGAATGTGCTGGGCAGACCTTCCTGAAATGATTACCAGAGGCTGCAAGTTACTGTGGGGACTCACCAAATGAGTTCCTTATATCTTTTAAACAAACAAAAGAAAGGAAAAATCTTGCACAGAATTGTTAATTATCAGAGGAGGACATGTTCTGGAGACCTAGTGTGTTTGCGCTCATGTGCAAGTATTTGTAAACCTCTCCTGCATGTCACTCCTCCTCCACACAGGAGAAATTTCCACGCAGCCCTGGGTATGCAGGTGTGTAAAACAGGAACACAAATGAAACATGTACTGACAATACAGCACAAATTTATTTTAAAGCAATTATTTGGCATACATGTAAGTTTACCATGTATTAAAGACAGCCATATATTTGCATCCTAATGAGAGGGATGGGCGCCTTTATTTTTGCAAGAGGAATTAAATCTCAGCTGGGTGTGGCTACAGCACCGGGAGATTTCTCACACTTGTCAGGGCCCAGCTGTATTTTGGTTTTGCTACTATCAGTCTGAGCACGCCTCATTGTATCTGATTATGATGTGGCAGATGTGTGCTTTGGGTCATTTCAGAAATTCTGTTCTAATCGCAAGCTAGAATTCATTGAACAATTGTGTGTGATACTCAAACAGCAATTTTTAAAACCAAATATTCTAATATAATACATTCCAGAGATCGACCAATTTTATCCTTACACGCTGAGTCTGTGTTTGCTGTGGCCGAACCCAGGTGCCCCGTGTGTCACCAGATGCTCCATGCATCACCAGGTGCCCCATGCATCACCAGGTGCCCCATGCGTCACCAGATGCTCCATGCGTCACCAGATGCTCCATGCATTACCAGGTGCTCCGTGCGTCACCAGGTGCTCCATGTGTCACCAGGTGCTCCATGCGTCACTAGGTGCAGGTGCTCCATGCGTCACCAGGTGCTCCGTGCGTCACCAGGTGCTCCGTGCGTCACCAGGTGCTCCATGTGTCACCAGGTGCTCCATGCGTCACCAGGTGCTCCATGCGTCACCAGATGCTCCGTGCGTCACCAGGTGCTCCGTGCGTCAGGTGCTCCATGCGTCACCAGGTGCTCCATGCATCACTAGGTACAGGTGCTCCATGCATCACCAGGTGCAGGTGCTCCATGCATCACTAGGTGCAGGTACTCCATGCATCACTAGGTGCAGGTGCTCCATGCATCACTAGGTGCAGGTGCTCCATGCATCACTAGGTGCAGGATGGGACTTTGTGTGTAAAACACAGGACTTGCGCTTTCACAACCAAGGCTTTAGTAGCACTGAGAGATACAACATGGTCAATGCTGCCAACACCTCCATTTAATCAAAATATCCCTCCCTCCCTTCCTCCCTCCCTCCCTTCCTCCCTCCCTCCCTCTCTCCCTCCTTCCTTCTATACGCCCCCTCTCTCCTTTAAATTCTTGGCCTCTTTTTCACTGTTATTGCACACATACATGTATTTGTATATACATTGATTTATATTCCTAAATATAACCTGCCAAGCCCGCATAACGTCTCCAGCTTTACTTGGTTGAGGCAATGGATTTGAATAGTGTGGCATCACGCTCTCTCAGTGGTGATCCCCTGGCCCTCACCTTCAGTTCCACAGCTCCATGCGGGGTCATGACCCACAGTTGACGAGCCTGGGCTAGACACAGATCAAGTCAGAGATCCAGGCCCAGAGTCCCAGGGATGATAGACGTGCTTAGTTTTTTTAATCAGGGCCCCATCAAAGCTTCCCTGCTCCCAGGGATTAGCTCCTGCAAATGTCCCCTAAAGGACCCATTTCTGGAGCATTCCAGAGACTGTGCCCCCTTGGCATCGTGGCTTCTACTGTAGCTGAACGGCCTGCCACTGGCAACTCCTCCTGGAAGCAATGACAGGCCCTCATTCACACCACCTGATTTATACATGGAGTGTATTTATCCCTGCTTCAAAGCAGCTCTCAAATTTCCACCCAGCATAGATTTTTTTTTTCAGGACAGTAACCACTTTTATTTACTATAAACCAGTCACTTGCCATCTTCCTAGGAACGGATGCTAGAAACATTATAGACTGTATTAATTGCAGCTCTAGAATATTCCGTTTTTAAGTACCATAGAAGTTTTGATGCCACTTAAAAAAAATCATTATTATGTCCAGAACCCAAGCCTGGTTATGAACTCCTAACGGGCCTTTTGTGAGATGGGTATGAGCAGGTTTTAATGAAATTTGAGTGTCTCTAGAGATCACAGATTCTTGGGCCTTTAACATTGTGGCGTTGCTT